AAAAACTTGAAACTGTGGACATACAGTTTTGTGATATGCTGCAGAGTATATTTGTGACCACTGAATTATTGGAGGTGCAAAAATATGATCTGTCAGAACTGCCTGAGTTGACAACCGTTGGCTTTAAGTTGCAGAACCCTGAACCTTCTAAGGTCATTAAATGCCCCAAGTTGCAAGAAGTAAATATTCCAAAACCAACAGATGCACCACAGGAGATCACCAAAGCTGGCGGTAGTTGAGTAAGAAGTCTTGGTACTGAACTATTCAAAGGCTAGAGATAAACTTAAAGTTGGTTAGTGGTTACTGCAGACATGTTTTGGCTTTCAGCAATTCAATCAGAATAGATGACAAATCTGTGTCTTTGCTTTTGACCATGTGCAGACATCTTCAGGTTAGCTATGTTTAACCTGGTTCATTGCATTTTTACTTAATGCCTGCCATCCCTTTTTCTTTCTTTTGCCAAATATACCTTCTCTATTTGCTTGTTTTGCATGCATTGATGGGGAATATCAGGAGTTACTACTGGGTTTTGCTGAATGTGCTTGGAGAGTTTTCTTTACAGGGTTTCAAAAACCAGAAGACGAAATAACCTCCATCCATGTTTTTTAATTACTAATTATGAAATCAACATTGCATCGCCGAAGAATTGAGGACAGCAGCGAATTTGGTGATTAACGTAATGATGTTTCACTATAGTCTCACCCTCATTTCTGATCATCTTCTCGGGAATAGCACAGTTATTGTGCTCACCCTTATCTTCTAAGACTTGTGAATGTGAACTAATTTAGTTATTATTAACTTACAACATCATAGCTGGTATATGACTCCCATTATGAAATTTTTTGTATCTGTTTCTTGTTTTTGGATTTAGAGTAGTTTTGGAGAGAAATCAATATTAACATTTATTACTTTTGTCTGGCATGTCAATTGTAGATTTCTTGGTGGCCATTCAAAATCAGAGACTCTGAATCAAGGATGCCTACATGGAGCACACGAACTAATGAAGGCTTCGGGATGAGCTGTACAAGGCATCATTTGTGAATAAGGCGACTGCTTTATGTGTGGTACCGTCGAGTAGATAGGTTACTTTTGAGTAAAAGTTGTATCTCAATGTTTGATGGAGAAACGAGTTTAATTCCTGATTGTTTGTTCTGAAATTAATTACTTCTCTATGCATTTTCAAAGAGTAATATGTACTCTACTTATTCAAGCTTGGAGATTCATCATGAATGTGTGATCTTCGCAAATATATTTGGTTACTATTATTTCCGGACTTCTGTTGTGCTAATTGTAGGTTTTTCCTCCGTAGCAATTCAATATAAACCAAACCAAATACATGTTCATACGCTTTGGCATCAACTGGAATGGTGGGTAAGCTGGTTATAACGTACGGTTGGAAAGTAATGGCAAAGATTATATGCCCAAAAAGAAACTGCAATTTCTTGGATGCGGGGTTTGGTGCAGAATAACACGCAAATGTATCCACCTAATACGATAAACCCAGATGTAATTTTATAGCAAATATTGACACTCTTATGTTCTGATCTTTTTTGCCCTTTTTTCGCCTTCCCATGTTTTGATTTCCGTTCAGTTGAAATTGTACTTAAATAGATAGATTTAGTATTGTCAGTGATGTTATTTTCTCCTTTTTGAAAAATGAATCTGCAGTTATGTAAAGGTGAGCACCGATAGACTTGACAGTTTTGTTTATTACTTCTGTTACTTCTCAAACGTCTTCCCCTACGGAAAGAAATAATAAAGATCTTAATAGCAATTAATAGATTGGAAGACCTAAATAAACGGGCAATAGTAAATTCATACTGCAAACCACAATAAGCATAGATTATTATATAATTAAACTATGAAGAAAACGAGTCTTCCATCCACGTTTCAGACATTGGTGCAGAAATTCGACTCAATTATAAGCAGAACAGGACAGATCCAACAAGCACTCCGTCAATATTGCTGCCACACGATAGCATAATATGAATGCATTTTTTATTATTTCCAGGCCATCAAAGCTGTCATCCGGCGACTTTCCTGGAAAAAGTTCTGCTGGGTTGAATATGCTGGGTTGGTCTTAGAAACATATCACCAGATTCAGCATTCCATTGTACACCAGCCTTCATGGGAGGTGGTTTTGGCTGCTGCCCCAAAGGCTGTCTACGAGACCCAATAGTCATGCTGGCTAACTTCTCGGATGCATCTGAAACTCCAAGCACGGCTCTTCCCTTGTTCACAACCGCTGCTGCAGCTGGCAATGTGATTTCCAATAAAATTAACAACCCATTCTCTACAACAAAACAATCAATGGTACACCTTACGAGCAAGACCTTTTTCAATACTTACTAGGACTCTTCTTTCCTGGCGGTTGATATTTTGGTTGTCTGGTCGAAGTTTTGAAGGGCTTATCTTTCCTATTCAAATCCTTTTAGGAGACAATAAAGGAACGGAAAAAAACCACATTTAGACTAAATCATAATAATTAAAGCCAAGCATGGTGAAGAAAGAATCCTCATAAGTCACAATATGCTTAAGGACAGTTTACCTGGTTAGCCATCTCCAGCTTCCGTTGAACGCCTACAAACAATTAAAAAAAAAAAAAAAACCTAGAAGATAAATACAACAAAAACTATAAAATTACTTCACAAGATAATGAAAATATCATTGAGCTCTACTTCACCTGTGCTCATATATGAACATGACTTTGAAGAAGAAAAATTGCTATTGAGCTTTGCATCAGATAAGGTGCCATAATACCTCTTATTACATTGTTGTTCACGAGATAACCTTGCTCCAACTGTAGGAATCCAATATAATCATATTAGGCTAGCTAGAAGGAAGACAGTTGCAGCATAACCCCCAAAAGAAAGGGAAGAAACGATAACTGGCAAAGAAAACAACAGATTAAGGACAAACCAGATGGAGGAGTCCTGGACACAGCTTCTTTGGGACGAAGAGATGGCGGTACAGAGAAACAGCTCTGTCAATTAATAAGACAAATTGTAGGCTAAGAAAACTATAAAAGAATTTGGTGAGCAAAACAAATGCTATAGTATAAAATAATTTTGACCTCATAAAAAGAAACTATTTATTTTCTTAATTGCATGATAAGTAAATTCAGAAATGCCACCTGAAAAAATGGATGCTGAAGAGCCTCAGCAGCTGTTGGCCTATTGCAGGGATCCCATGAACAAAGTGACTATTGACAAACACCAAATCACAAATAAACGTTTGGCAATCAGGAACATGTAAACACAACTTTTACAGTAGCAACAACATATGAGACAGTAAATAAAGTAAAGATAAATGGGCTTAACTGTAATAAGATCAATTGCGTCCTTACTCACAGATGGCATCAACGCAGAGAGTTGCACTCCAGCCAACTGCAATGCCAAATAACAGTCAATGTCATAAAAGAAAAATCTAAAACATCTCAGAGCAAAAACACAAGAAAGCTAACTTTAGAGACCATGCATAACCACATTAGAGAGAGACGAACCTGTGGAAATTGGTAGTTTATTGCTCTAGCAAGATTAAGGCCATCAGGCCATGAATCCTGAGTTGGAGTACCTATTACACTGCAAATTTTGTATATCTCATCTGCTTCACTGCATGAGTAATAATAAGGAAAAGTTAAAGGCAAACTAATAATCAATGTTGCAACTGAGCAACAGTCTCAAAGCAGGGTGAAAAAAAATACCATAAGAAGCAACATTTAGATATCAACCTCCAACTAGTTAAAGGAAAATACTGGAAGCACAGCAATTAAACACGCATATATACCTGCTACCCGGAAAAAGAGGACGCAAGGTGAACAGCTCAGCCATGATAGCGCCCATTGCCCACATATCTATATAAAAACAAAAACGGTAGATTATTCGGTATCCAGTGAATAAATTATTGTTTCATAAAATGAACCAACTTCTGATTCCATGACAAACTTACCAACTTTAGAACTATACACGTAAGACTGAAGCAACACTTCAGGGGCTCGATACCTGACATAAAGTTCAAACATCAGAGATATTTTGTATTAATTTTTTTTTTTTAAATCACAATATAGAAACATACCACCGGGTAGATACATATTCTGTATATGGTGGATTTGAATTGATTTCCCGTGCTAGACCAAAATCAGCAATTTTGATTATGCCTTTAGTAACCAATAAATTCTCTGCATAGAAAGTTACGCTAGTTATCAATCATTTAAGTTTCACATAACTCAGCTCATCCTTAAATTTTACTGTTCAATTTGAAAAGTACAAACAATTAGTCTAAAGTGCAATATTAGCACATTCAGAGAAACTCATGTCACATTTACTGTACAGTGATTCTGCTACAGATTGATCATAATCAAAAGATAAAGAAATCACCTGGCTTAAGGTCACGATGAAAATAACCACGCTGATGCATATATGAAAGGGCTTGAAATATTTGAAAACACCAATTTCTGACTACAGATTCTGAAAAAAGCTTTTCCCTGTCTTTCATAAGTTGGTAAAGGTTGCATTCCTGAAACAAGAAGAAAAGTTAAACCTCATGTGATGAACAAGCAAGTCAAGTTCATAGGGGCAAGGAAACAGAAGATATATTACCATGTACTCAAACACAAAATACAGAATATCATGTTCTCTTATCACTTCCTTAAGCTTCACAATATTGGGATGATTCATTTTCCGCAATGACTGCCAAAGGAAACAAGTCATCATGCATATGGAACAAAAAAACAAAAAACAATAGAATGTCATTCTATTTTGAATACCAATCGTACAATTTAGCCCATACTACCTTCACTTCCCTCAGATTTACACAGTCTTCCCATGAGTAATATTTTTTCTTCATTCTCTTAATTGCTACCTATAAAACCCAAAAGAAAAAAAAAAAAAAAGAGAGAGAACACAATATTTCCTTCAATAGTTCAATATAAAGAAAATCCAAAGACACACATACCACTTCACCAGACAGCTTATTAATGCCTCTCCATACACTCCCAAATGTTCCGTCACCCACTTCCTTGATCAACTTGTACCTATGTCAATCAAAAAGGCCTATTATAAATAGTATCCAATACATAAACATCTCCATTCACATCCCAGAGGAAACCAACTCACCTCTCCATTTTCTTTATGGAACAAAAGGTAGATCCTTTATTCCAACAGACGTATAAGATCTTCACTAGAAGATAACTGGTAACAAAAACTCAAAAAATAAACAAAATGCTTTGCTAATAAGCAGAATCCACCATTAATTTTCTGCAGCGACGTGCATGAGCACAAAACCAGAATCTTCCCAGTGGATGGGCTTCACAGCTTTATTCACTAGCAAACCCACAGTTTCAAGATTAAGACCAGGCATTAACGGCAGGAAAAGGTAAGTTCCACAGAACATATTGACACTAACAGTCAGTCCAGAATGATTGCTCCAGCCAACAGGACGGATCCTTAGACAGCTAGTTCATCTATTCAATGTAGGAATTCTTGCAGATTGTTCGGTAAATTGATAACTCTTCACTCTAACCAATACCCCATTGGGAGAAACAAGGGAACAATAACTAAGAACTATAGTCTGCATGCACTTGATGCATCTCAGATGGCTTATCTAATGCTAAGCAAGCAACTGGAAATCATCTACTTGCAGACTTCAGCCCTGTTGTAACATAAAAACAGGAAAAAGAAGGCACGGAAGGTCAGGGAAGCCCTAAGCAGATGAGATACAAGGTTAGGAGAGATTGTCAATGAAATATTCTGTACCTCAGAAGGCGTTTCTCAAAATTTTCAACTGGATGTTGTATCAGAAATACACTGCCAAAAAAAATATGTAAATTAGAATAGACTTATACAACTTCAGTAACAAGGACACGGAGAAGATGCTCGCTTACAGAAGTGCACCAAAGACCCAACACCTAGCTCAGAAAAAAATTGCATTATGCCTTCTGTACCGATCATTAAAGAGAGAGTGGTCACTAAGTGCAATTGACAAAGGAAACCAAAAGGAAATCTCCATAGACAAAAAACCGCCAGTCAAGGACTTCTTGGAAAGAGAAAAGCCCAAAATGGATGCGATTTGACCAGAAGCACACTTTTTCCATGTCTTAACAAGGAAAAAAAAGCACTTCAAATCCAACTCCAGTGCAACCTAGCATCAAAAGAATATCAGGCAAATTTCCATAGCCGATCACTTAACAATGTTACATCTACCCAATAGAACATTAAAAGGCAGAGTAGCTTCAAAGTGCAAGGAATACAATACAAACACATATCAATGAAGAATCATACTACACATATGATAAAACCACTAGCAATCATTCCATTACCATTGTATTCGTACATCATCTCAATGCTCACAATAAAAATCAAAAAACGGAGCTCTGATAAGAGCCGAACGGTAAACCTAGATATATAAGAACAAATCCACAAGCACGAAAACTCTACCAAACGCAAAAGCAAAGAATAACTTGAGATAGATAGCGGCATTTAAATTCACACGAATCGAATCATATAAACCAAATCGACCTTCAAAATCCTAAAGCTAACAAAACGGGAATCGATTCTTAAAAAACAGCAACAATCCAATAACCAATTAAAAGCTCTAATAAGAAAATCACAGTTAACAATATATCTCGAACATGCATCAGAATCAAACCCTAATCTCAACGGAATACAGTCAAACCAAAAATCGGAGACAGAGGAAGCCACCAGAGATCAGATCGGGTCGAAACCGATCGGAGAGAGAGGGAGAGAGAGAGATCTCCGTACCTGAAAACCAACCGGCATAAGCACCGTCGCCAAGGACGGGAAGAAGAGGAATCCACAGCTCCTCTATTGTATGAACCGAATTCAACCCAAACCAAAAACTTCCCGAGTCCGTTTCAAATATCTAATCTCGTGCGAGCCAAGCAATTCCCGGTTTTATAGACGCGACCGTGTCGTGCGTGAGCGCTCCATAAATGGTTCCTGCGGCGTAATCGTCTACGGTGCGGCACTATTACGCACGATGGTTCAGATGTTGCCATCGCCCATCGTGCCGTTAGGTTCTTGATTGGGATTTGAGACGCTCGTTCATCACGTGGCAATCCCTGAAAATAAAACTGATGATGATTTCGTTTCCTAAGTTAACCCTGCTATTATTTCTTTTTGCTGTGTTTAAGGCTTA